GCCCATCGCAGGCAGCCACTTCAGGACCGTGTTAAATCACCCTGGCAGAAGCAGGGATCATCCCAGATAGCACCAGAAAGAGGCTGTACAACACCAGACCCCATTTCCTTCAGAGATAACCCTGTCCCTGCCTGAACCTCGCTGCATTTAAAACACCCACAGTAAACGCAGAGCTGCATTTCCCCGCGTATGTCTTTCCTTTCTCGTACCTTCACCCGGGGAGGAGGGAGGGAGGCTCCGGCTGGCCAAAGCGAGAGGTCAGCCTGTTGGGACGGAGGCACTTGTAACTCTGCCTCCACTGAATTACTGGCAGCCTTGGAGGACAAGAGCTGCAGTTGCCCTTCCTGGGGTCACGGGGATGAGTGTGTTGCAGGAAGAGAAACTGCCCGGGTAGGAACAGATGAGAAAAGTGATGTGCACGCACTGTTCACCAGATTCAGCAACGTCACCACCTGCCTGGGAGCAGCTGACAGCCAGCACGTGGCGCGTCAGCAGGTAGCGGGGGTCAAAAGCTGCCATTCCGTGCAAAGTAGTGGCTGTCCCCTCTGCAGGGACCTCATGCCCGGGTGATGTTGCGCCCTAGGACACGGGGCAGCCGGGACTGCTGGCTGGGTCCCAGGCTAACCTCTTGAACTGTCTTTGCTGTAAGAGGCACCAGCAGGTGAAGCGAACTGGACTTTTCCTGGACTGTGCTGCTTCTGCTCACCCTTGGGGACAGGGCAGGTGGCAGCTGAGATCCCAGGGACGAGGCTTTAAGATCCCAGAAAGGAGACGCATTCAAAGGCCCAGCTGCTGCACGCTTCTGCCGTTCTCCAGCAGCCACCGTCCTCCATCTGAACAGCAACGTGATGTCTGGGGTGGAGACGTGGATCCAGTCTCTGAAAGGATTGGACTGAAACGGGTGATGAAGGACGTGGGTTTGTTAAAGCGCCTGACCCCTTGCTGCTTCCTCCTCTGCTCCCATGCCAGCTGTTGTGGGAGAGCCCAACCCTGTCCCTGGAGAAGACAAGGGCGAGTCCCCTCTGGGAGCTGTCTGCCTCCAACAAGCTCTAGCTTGTTGGTGTGTCTCTGTCCTTCTCGGGAAGGCAAGCGCAGCCCTCGCAGCACAGCACCAGCAGATGCTACTCCAGCAGCAGCACAAAACCAAAAGGGCTTATGGCTCTCCTCTCGGCCGGGTGGTTCTCAGAGGCGAGCTTCTCCTCCCCACAATGGATGCTGCAGCACCAGGGTCTGAATGCCTCCCAGCAGCCCCTCCTTGCACAGCCTGCCTCTGCTCTGAGCCCCGGGCTCCCTCGTTCCAGCGGGTTTCTGATGGTGCCTCTCACACACAGACAGGAGGGTGCTGGACACTTTCCTGGAGGAGATGACAAGGGGCAGAGAGTGCAGAACTCCCTGGGGCAGGGTGCCGGATGTCTGTCCCGGTTCAAGAGGAGACCAGACAGGTTTGCTGTGGGGAAACCCAGTGGGGAATTTTAAGCATACAGAAACCGTGCAATTCAAGGGAACAGGATGCTTGCCCTGTTCTCAAGTCTTTCCCAGGTTCCCACTAGCAGAGGGAGGAGGTGGCCTGGCCCTGGGTGTCTGCTCTTGCGTTCTCCCTGTTGGTGCTGGGATGAAGGGAAACGCCATCGCCTTTGCCTTCAGCTGCCATCCCTGGGAAACCGAGAGGGGTCCATGGCTTGGGCTTCTGCTAACAGCTGCTATCAGCTAGGAAATCTGCAAGTGAAAAGGCTGCTGCTGCTTATCTGCCTAGTACAAATCTTTGTCACGTCAGGGTTTTCCTTGAAGCTCCAGCTGCTGCAGTCTTTGCACGAGAACAGCAGATTTCGGTTTAAACATGGGTTTTGCCCTGTGGCGCTGAGGGCAGATAGGAAAGTGGATTTACCAGCAGCGAGGGCAGCAAGGACATGTCGGCCCCTTCTCGTCACAGCCAAGGAAGGAACCACTGCCGGGGCTGCACGCAGACGTGCCTGTCTTCCACCTGGGGCTGGAGCTGTGCTTGGGCACCAGCGGGGAGGTGAGGGGACAGCCGGGGCAGGGGACCGTGCTCAGGGATTTGTCACCAGCCCTTTCTCCAGCTCCGTCCTTCTTGCTGCCATGGGGCTGTTCCCGGGAGGACAGATCCCCCCCACGCGCCGCAGAAAGGCGCCCAGTGCTTGTTTGGCGCTTGGGCATCGCTGCCTGGTGGGGGGACAGCACCGCTCTGACACCCTGGGACACGACCCTTCCCAGAGGAACGAGACCAGCTTCAGGAGGTGTGTCAGCCGGCTGTCCCCAGCGAGTGAAGAGGCAGAGTCCCAGCCGGCATCCCTCATCTCCAGCCACCCCCAGCCCCTCAGCAGGGATGTGAGCCCCTGCCCCGGCGCCAAGCAGGATCCTCCTGTCCCCCCTCGCACTGGCTGTGAGAGACAGCGAACTCCCCTGGTTAGCCGGGAACAATTACATCTGGAATGAAACCCTTGGAATGGTGTCTTTTGCTGTACAAAGCAAGGGCCTAAGTCAGCAGCTGGTGCAGAGCGGAGCCCCAGCCACGCTGCTCACGAAGCTGCTGTAACGACTCGTCCTCCCAGAGCCCTGACCAGTGTGGGGTTGGAGATCCATTCACAGCGGGTTTTCTCCATCAGCCAGGACCACACACACTGAAAAAGAGCAGGAGGGTCCTCAAGCACCACTCATGGTCTTTGGAACCGGTACACTGAGTGAAAGAAACCTCGTTCTTGCAAGGCTCATGATAAAAATCAGGAGAGTTTGCAAGCACACAACAACAGATACGAGCTGCACGGGAAGAGCCACTGTCAGGCAAAGGGATGAGGTGGGGTATGCTCCCTGTAGCTTCCAGCTCAAAGGCAACGGGTTAAAATTGTCTCTGGGTTTAGAAGGACGTCAGATACCCCAGACCAGGCCCCCGATGAAGGTGGGTTGATGCCCAAGGGTAAGGCTGACTGAATTCCCCCCTCAGATTGATGAGGCGTGCAATTTGCAGATAGATTAATCAGATGAGTCTGACTTTTGTGGTTTCCTGGAGTCTAGTCTCATGCTATAAAACCTTGCTGGGAGCAGGAAGAGACCCCAGCTGCAGCCTCACCTCCAAGGGATCCACTGAAGTCACAGTCGCTCTGATGAAGCAGCTGCAGAAGCTCCTGCTGTCCCTCCTGCTGGCGACGTGTCCCCCGGCCGAGGCCGGTGAGTAGAGCACTGGGAGGTGGGGAGGGGGCTGGGGAAGGGACCATCCCCACAGCGCGTCCTGTGCCCTGCGTCCTCCCACCCTCATCCTCAGTCCTGTCCGTTGCAGGTTATTCCCGGAATCGGATGGAGGGAGGAGGTGAAGCCAAGCGCCACGCGCCGCACCCCACACCCTATGTGGCCCGCGTGCAAGGAGAGGACAACCACGTCTGCGGAGGCTTCCTCGTGGCCCCGAACTGGGTGGTGACAGCAGCTCAGTGCTACGAGTAAGTTTTTGCCGTGTTCATACAGCACCGGGCAGGAGGGTCTTGCCCTGCCGTGAGCCGGGTGGTATCTTCCAGACGGAGGGCTAACAGTTGGGATCCCTTCCTCCATGGCTGTGGCCAAACGTTCCCTGGCAGGGAGCGCGGGCTGCGCGGCTGGGACAGGGCAGGGCTGGGGAGACCAGCACAGACGCAGCAGGGGGTCCATCTGCAGCCCTCCCTCGAGCCATCCTTCCCCATGTCCCTCCCCAGATACTTCCATTTATTCTTTTATTCCCCCTCCATGACTCATTTTATTCTTCCCAGACATCAGCAATGAGAAGTCACACCGACTTCTTCCCCCGCTGTCACTGACCTGGGGGCACAGCAGGGATTGCTGGTGCCAGGCTTTGCCCCTTCTCTCACCAAAGACCTCCAAGACTGTTATCAGAATTAGTAACCTCATGAGCAAGGTGCTTACCTGGCTCTCCTCTGGAGGAGCTGGGGCATGGAGAGGCAAGAGGGCTTTTCTAGCTGTGCAGGACTCTGGGTGGACCCGCGACACTCCTCGGGGCTGGCAGCTCTGCGCCGGTGCCACAGCCTGGGCTCGGGGCCAGTCCCCACATCTGGGCAGCAGGAAGGGGGATCAGGTGGAGCCAGGAGCCTGCATGCCCACGTCCCCCCTGTGAGACCGAGGGGGGGCTGCCACCCCTGCCCAGAGGGTTTTCCCACAGCTGCCCCTTCTGCTGGTCACGTGGAGGCCCGTGGAGGTGCATCGGCCCAGAGCACGCAGGGTCCTGCGTCAGAAATCCCTCCTTGGTGCCGTGGACTTCCGTGGGCCTATGAAGCCCGGACCAACAGCCCACGGATCTTGGCACAGAGCAGCAGCAGCATTGGGCCAAATCCACTCAGCCCGAGATCCAGACACAGGGTGACCCTGCAGAGCCCCAGTCTGTCAGACGGGACCTTGCTCTGCCTCTCGGCTGGGGGGATTCGCTGGCCCCCCCCCTCTCTTCAGCGTCCAGCCGGTCTCTCCTGGCCATGCCCCGGGAGATGTGCCCCAGCGTGACCAGGGGGGTCAGGAGCAAGCTGATTACATGCACTGTGCTCGATTTTACCAGACACAAACCTCTGACTGTCATCCTTGGAGCCCACACAACCCCAAGGAGAGAGGAAAGCTGGCGAACATTTGAAGTCCAAGATTATCACTGCCCAAAAGACTACGAGAGTCCTAAGAAGGGAAATGACATCCTCTTGCTGAAGGTAACTCCCTGCCTGGAGCATCTGCCCAACCCGCAGGGCTGAGCCATAACCCTGGAGCGGGAGGGGACAGCCTTTGGCACAGAGCGTTTACAGACCAGACACTTATTTCTGTATTTTCTGTCCACTTGCCCAGCTGAAAGGCAATGCCACCAGCAACAACTCCGTTAGGACAATTTGCTTTGACAGATCAAAAAAAGTCCTTAGCAAGACTGAGTGCCGCATAGCCGACTGGTCACAGCAAGCCACTGTCACCATCAGGACACGAAGGGAGTGCCTCAACCTCAACCCTGGACTTGCCGAAAACTTGATTTGTGGAGACAGCAAATCTGCTGGGGTACCTGAGAAGGTCAGTCTCTGACTTAGGGAGTAGAAGGCTGTGGGGAAGGTTTCTGACAGGTACTGGGCACAAGCCCAATCTGAGCTAAAAAACTTCACTGACAAGGTACTGTCTAAAATTGCTTCTTGTTGTCCCCTCACTCTCTCTGTCCCCCTAGCCGCTGCCCCATCCCTCCACGCTTCCTCAGCAGCAGCCCCGTCGCTTCCTGTCCTGGCACAAGAGGTGCTCTGGGTCTTGATCTCCAAGGATCAGACCCCCAGAGGGTCAGCGGCATCCCTGCTGACCGCAAGCATCACCCTTGTGCTCAGTCCTGGGCCATGCAGAAGGGACAAGGGGATCCTTGCAGCAGAGGATGCGGGAGCCTGCAACAGCACAACAGGACAACAGCTTGTCTGAAGAGGGGTTTGCCCTAAATCTCAGAGCTGGTCCGAGTGCATTTTGTAGTGCTCTGCAGTCAGCAGAAGGGCAGAAATGAAGTGATACTTTAAGCTTCAGCATTTTCCCAGCTGTAGTTGTGCTGAGTCCTGTGCTGGGTTCCAGACAAAACTGACAGTGGTCCCTTTTGGACCCAGAGCTATCCACACCCATTACAAATCCAAGCGTCTCCTGGGGAAGCTCTGTCCTGCTATTTTCAGCCTCCCTGTTCTTTGCAAATGCACTCTTTTCCTAGGGACCCCACATAAAGCAACACTGATCTCTCTCCTCCCCCATTTTACAGGGCGACGCCGGGGATCCACTCGTCTGCAACAACAAAGCCTATGGCATCTTCTCCTACAAGCTAAACAGTTGGACCAGTGTCTACACATACATTGCTCCTTACCTTCCCTGGGTCGACAAGGTCATGAAGTCAGCATGACCCTACTCCCCCCCAGCTGCTGCCCTGGAAAACTCACGCTTCAGGGCTCCATGTTCACCTGCTTTTTTCTTCCTTTCTCCCTGGGAAGCATTGTCCGGTGATCCTCATGGACATGGCAAGGACTTCTCTCTGGCAAAGCCAAATGAGGGCAGTGGGGTGTTTGTTCCCTGGGCAAGCTGGGGAGCACCCATTTCCACAGTGTGTGCTCCCACCTGTTGCTGCTCTGATTTACCCCTTTGTCAGGCTGCTTGTGGCTACAGCTCTAGAAAGGAAGCAGCAGGACAGCCCTGAGTGCAGTGACAGGAGCTGTTAGGAGGTCTTCTGCCCTTTGGAGAAGGCAGTAGAATTAAATCGGGGGATCCAAAGAGCAGCCTCCTCACTGCCCCTTGCGTTTGTGACACCAGGTGCCTGGGTCTCCTTTGCCCAAGCCCTGGGGTTAGGGGGTTGCCGCAGCTCCAGGGAGGACAGTTTCAGCTCCTGCTTCACTGCTGCTGTCCCCTACCTCCAAAACTTGCTGCCTCCTTTCTCCCCTCTTGCTGTAGCTCCAGCGTTGTAAGAATACATAAAACCAATAAATTGCATCTGCATTTGGTAGCCTTTTTCCTTCTGTGATTTGGATTTCTCTCAGCTGCTGGCTCCAGTCGTAAGGAGTCAGAAGAAAGTTACTGCTCAAACAGCTGAGTCCAAAGCTGGAAGGTTCTACCCTAACCAGTGGCCTCCGTTTTCTGTCCCACCTGGAGGCCCAGAATGCGTGTCCAGCCTGGTTTTCAGGGCAGGTTAATCAATCAGTCGCCTCCTGGCTGGAGATTGTCTTCTCCCCATGTGCTGCAGTGTGAGCAGGTGGGAAAGAAAAACTCCGCAGGGGAGGGGGCCCCGAGCACAGGGGGTCCCCGGGGCGATGGGAGTGCTGGCAGCGAGCGCCTGCGGGTGCTGCACGGGGACAGACCTGGCCCGTCTCAGCCTGTCCGCAGAGCACAGCAGAGCCAGGAACACAGCCGAAGGTGTAGCCCCTGCAGCGCCCGAGGGCTTCGCGAGACGCTGTGTCGCGGGGCTGTGCCAAGCCTTCTGCTGCCTCCAGCCCGTGCTGGTGTCAGACACCCCCGGGAGCAGCAGCTCACATTGGTGACACGCGTTTGGCTGCTCCAGCCACAAGCTGCCTGGAGGGGCCTGCTACCAAGGTGGGAGGTAAAGTACTGGGCTGTGTCTTAGGCAGCAGTCATGTCCTCCAGGAGGTTTATTTTGCTCAGAAGGAGGATCCCTGGTGTGCTCCAGGGCCAGGCTCTCCACCACCCCATTCTGCAGCAAGGGGGGGGCACACGCAGAGTCTCCTGTCCCTCTCGGGCACCACTGCAATAGAGGATTTTATCCCAGATCTCTGCCAGTCCATAAAAGGGTAAAGTCAATCTGTAGCAATAAAGGAAAGGGAACTGGGAGTACTACTCCTGTCCCCATGCTTTAACCATATCACCACCCTTCTCTTCCCACAAGCCCCCATAGCTTTTGATAATATCCAACCACTGTGTCACTGAGGCAAAAATCCCACAGAGTCAACCCCAATTTCTGCATGACAGGAAAGAAATCACACCCAAAGATGCAAGAGATTTTTGTGCCTGGTTGTACTGGAAAACAAGAGTGAAAGGGGTAGGCATCAGTGCATTGGCGACCCACAAAATGGGAGATGTTTCCATGCTCCCTATTACAGTAGTGGCCAAATGCCACTAGATGAAAAACTCTCCTAGAACAGAGCTTGAAAATATTATATCTGAAGGAAATTAATCTGGATGTTTGCCAAGTGACCCGTTCTTAAACCATTTTAAGCCTATAGGTACACTTCATTTTGCAGGTTACAACAACGGTTTCCTGACACCAGAAACACAATCTCCAAAGTTTTTGAAAAGCAGGGGTCAGACTGCAGTTTCAGTGTCAAAAGAAAACCCCTAGGTTTTATTTTTCAAGATGTACTTTTGGGGAGTGTTTGCCTTTCCTGATGTTCACCTTTGCACAAGGGTCACTCGTTAGAACCCACGCAACACCTGTGGCAGCGCTGGATACAAAACCAGACCCCAGATCTTCAGATTCCAAGTACTTTCCAAACCTAGTAATCCAAAACGTCCCACAGCCCCCCGGGCACTCCAATGACTCAGAGAAGCTGCAGCTGAGCGCAGTTCTCGGCGGCTTTTCTGCGGCCGGTGCTGCAGGGGCAGAGCCTCGGCGCCGCGATTCCCCGTGCGCGCAGTGCCCTCTCCAGTCCGCACCAGCTTCTGCCTCCGAGCAGCTTCCGAACCGGCACGGAAGGGACCCGCCTGCCCGGAACAGCTGACTCCGGCTGTGCTCGAGGGGCCCTCGGGAAAGACAGCGACCGACAGCGAGCTGCACGGGTCGTTCTGCCGGCTGCTGCTCCCGTGCCCCTGTCCCGGGTCTGCTCCACGACCGGCCGGGTGCCCAGGCGCGGAACAAGCTGCAGCGCTCCAGAGACAGCGCCCGCGCTGCACGCCTGCTGCATGTTACAGATGGCTGGAGGCTGCAAAAGGCCAAAACACGAGGCCCTCTCACAGGCAATGGGCAATACTGGGCATTAGTTTTAAGACTTCGCCTTCTTCCTTGAAGAGTCTGACTCTGTCGCTGTGCTTTAGTTAAATGGAACGTATTATACTCTCTTTGCAGAGACTGGCACAACACAAGACCCACACGGAGCTGAAGGAAATACAACAAACCAAACACTTCTTTCAGCCACTGTTTCCTGCTTTCCAGCTGATGAGAACACGGAGCTACTGAGAAAAGCAATGTACCCATTAATTAGAAAACAGCAATGACACAAATACCTTCCAGCAGTATGGCCAGCCAGACTGGAGCCATCTTCCTGGTTCAAGCTGAAACACAGCATCTCAGGCTGTCCAGTACCTGCACCTTCACCAAAGGGAGCAGAACATCCTTGGTTATAGCTTCCTGAAAACACCGTAAACCTTACCCAGAGGAAGTTCAACATCTCTACCCGGTCCCAGCTGATTTAATCTGGAATTCCTGGGGAACTATCCTAGGAAAGGAGAATTAAGTTCTAGAAACTCCACCCCAGGAAATCCTTTTGTGAAAGCTTTCACAGTCATCCCTCCCTGGGCTCCTAAAGGGATGAATTTGAGCAGCGTTTCGTACCCCAGCCCATGTTGCTAACAAACAAGACCAGGAGCAAGAAATGTGTCTGAAACGGGCTGACACTACAGCCAGAGGCAGCAGTGACCACTGACAACTTCACCTACCGCTTCTACTCCAAAATCCTCCAAAATTTTAATTCAAGGTGCCACCACTGCATCCCTACATCTTAAAACCCGTCAGCCACTGTTCACACTTCAGAATTACAGTACAGTACATTATATATAGTTATTGCATATTATACCTTATATTTACCAAAACACACTCTGTTTCTGTGCCTCAGAGTCCCGATTTTCTGAGCAGCGATGTTGCTAGCCAGGAGGGCAGAGTGTGCTTCCGTCAGATGCAGGTCCCACAGGGTACCGAAGTTGTTAAGCCAGACAGGAGGAGGAAGAGAGGACTGACAGCAGTGAAGAAACACATGCATGACCACCATGGCTTTTAGGAACAAAATTTATTCCAATTTCAAACAGAGAATTTATTTCAGGAGAAAGATATGAAAATCAATTTCCATCAGATATTTCTGTAGTAAGGGTTGTTGCCCAGCAGTCAGAGTGGGATCATTCCAAGAAACAATCACACTCCTGGACTGGAATGAGACAGTTTGGAGCCTGAATAGATCCTGACACTGGGCATCTTATTCAGAAACTCCTTTACCCTACCCTCTTCCCTCCCCCCACCCCAACACGCACAACAATACATGCATTGCAAATGACAAGGTTTAAAAACAGCATTTTATATAGTATCTTTTTAAATAGGATAATGTTTAAATTGTCTTAAATCAGGATCCTATAATATACAAGTATAACCAAATAATTTCCACCACATTGGCACTTGTAAAGAGTCTCTGGCACTACTAAAGAAGGGGCATTGGCACAAACCATACTCTTATGAAACTGTGTGCTGCATAACACACTTTATCTCTGCTGGACTCAAACAACCTGGGCTCTGTACAGTACGATACAATGGTCAGCACACTCCGGAAGTACTTTTTTTTTTTTTTTTTTAAACCAATAAAACACATGAAGAAAAACCATAGTTGAACGCAAGGCCAACATTGCTAGGAAGCAACAACAAGAGACCAAAGAATCCAGCTCCGGGAGAAGGGGAGACAGGCGGAAAGGGCAGGAGCTCTCTGACACGCCGAAGCAGGAAGGGGCTGTTGCTCACCAGGTAGCCAATCCACACAGAACAGTGCAAAGAAATGGGATGGTCCTCTCCTCACCGATTTCCAAGTTTCAAACTGGTTCAAAGTATGTTGGTTTCTTCAGCAGAACAAAGATAAAAAGTGCACAAGGAGCAGAGGTTAGCCAAGAGACCACTTCCTCAGACTTAAGATCCTAGATTCTCTACAAGAACCCAATGCCACCTCTTTTCTGAAAGTCAATCTGTTGTCTCAACTTCCAGAAAATTCTGACTGGCCTCACTTTCAGAAAAGATGATATAGGCAGATTTGGTTTAAGGTTTGGCACTTTTGCTAGGGCAGGCATTTGCCAAAGGGCCAGTCAACAGAGACACGAACCAGTTCCGCAGGAAAGCGTCACTAGCCAAGGTGGAGGCACACAAGCTACCGCTCGCTAAGAAATGCATGTGCTGACACCGGTATCTTCTCACGTACAGTCCACAGACAACTCCAGATGACGTGTGCAAGTCTGACCCATTCCTCCCCCAATTCAGAAAGACGTTTTGGGAACTCATCGCGTAATGCCCTCCCCTTTGCAATGACCATCACACAAAGTCAGTTACCAGGCCAACAGCTACACCAAGGAGTTGCTCAGCAAGGTACAGCACATGCCTGAATCCTTGTGCCCGTGGCCTCCCACTGTTCCCCACAACAATGCAGATTCACTTGGCGAGAGACAGAAGCCAAGATCCCTCCTCCTGTGCCAGGGCAGCAGCTCTTGAAGGGGAGGATACAAAACAAAAAAGTTTCTGATTCAAGTGGAAGTACCACCATCATTCACCTTGGAAAAAAAACTTCTGGGAAGTCATTTCCAAGAACCTGTGTATCTCAGTGCCAGGTTCGTTGCTGGCAATAGTTGTAGTGTGAACCATTTACAACAGGATCACAGAAGCAGAAGAGGCTGGTGCTGCCATCTGCTTCGGATGAACAGCACTTAGAACACACAAAGATGATTATAAATTCCTCTTTTAGGACAGTTTCTACAAAATGGATCATTTTGGCATAAAGACAAAAAAAGCAGTAAAATTGATGCAAAGCTGTCTGACACATGGGAATCCCTCTCATTCCTCCCAAGTGCTAAATGCAACCCAGAGCATGGCTAGTCTAAAGAGATGCTGTGTTTCCCTCAGCACCACCAGCCAGACTGGCTCTTCAGCTGTTGGTCCCATGGCTACTGTTCCGACTTGAGCTCTCCACTCACTCTTAACAGAGCTTGCTTTCCTCTGTAGCGCTCTGAGACATACAGAGGCTTCCCTCAGCTATTCCGGAAAACAAGAGGGACCTATAAACAGAATTACTCAAAATTATGTCCCTCCATATTTTAGTGTTTTAGATCAAAGCATCTCAAGCATCTCAGTTAAGATTTACTCTTATATGTTGTGCAAAACACTGATGTAGTGCTCTGTCTACAAAAGAGACAAAATATCAGCAGCCCCCTTCAACAGTGCAGCTCATTTAGTCTTCATCTACTGGCAGCCTGCTGGCCTTCAAGGGGGCAATCTGTTTGATCCAGAGAATTTGGACCCAATGCTACTTGTTGGAACTGAAACAGAAGCCATCAGTGATGGCTGAACGACACACGTCCAGATGTGGGTCAGATTTCCCTGTTTCCTACTCACTCCTTGCCTTGCCACTGCAGTTATCTTCCAGGCTGGCAGCAGGTCTTCAGCACATTTGTTCACTTGCCTCAGCTCCTGGAAAAGGCTCTCTCATGTGCAAAAGCTTCACATCCTTCTCCTTAGTGGTTTCATTTGGCATCTAGAATCCAGAACTACTTCCACTCTGCCTTCCACCTGCACCAGCACACCCCGCTGTCTCTGCCTCTACAATCCTGCTCAACAAAGGTGTGGCCACAGCAGGGCTTTCTGGATCCCTAGCAGCTGCGTGCTCCAGCCGTGACTAGAGTAACTCAATTTATCACATGCACCCTGGAGCAAGGATGCGTGCAAGTCTTTCAGAGAGGATCCATGCTCCTCTAAAGAGAAACACAGCAGTACACGCCTCCGGGGAATGCATAAACAGGCGAGAGAGAACTGCCGCTCCCTCCAAGAGCTATCCTCAAGTAAGAATCCTACCTACGTCCCAAAGTTTGTCACCCACCAACTCTGGTCCTTTCTAAAAATCTGTAAGCTGGACGAGACCGAGGAATTCTTACAAAGTCGTTCAATACACTGGCACAAATGCAATAAACAAGGCTTGTTTGCTACTAGCAGCAAGAAAAGAACTAGAGGGTGGCACAAGACTAAGATTTCCAATCCAGCCAAAGTCAGATGTATAAATGCCACAATTACTCAGTGTGCTTTTGATATATGCTGCATAGAGAATTTGCTCACTTGATGTCATACAGGTATACTCAACAAAACATAGCTTCTCTCTGCAAATTGAGCCTTGTGCGCGCACACGCGCTTGTGGTGTGGGGGGGATGTGTATGTGTGTGTGAAAAAAATAAAAACAAAACAAAAGAGAACAATTACAGTCAGGCACTTCCCCAGGCTCAGCAGCTATTGCTCCAAGAGCTTCCATCATTTGTAGTCCATGAACAAAATACAGCAACACATAGCAAACTATGTATAGAACATCAATAATTTAAAAAAAAAAAAAAATCACAGTCTCCATACCTTTTATAATTGATAAGAAAAAATAACTCAGAACTAGAACATATAAAGAATGGAAAAGTGATGGCTTTTTTTTGTTTGTTTTGCCTTTTTCTTTTTTTGCACAATAGTTGGAGAGCAATCGCTCCTCCCCAACATTTCATCACAGTGAACCATGGAGCGTGTCCTGGGGAAGGAAAGAAAGAGGGGGGGAAAAAAAAAAGCAAGCAGGATTAGCAAATTACACCAGAGGCACCCTATAACACAAGGCAAAGGGACCAGTAGCATTCTGCACTCCCACAGTCCAGTGAATTCACAATCTCGGCTGGAAAGTTATTTTTTTTCTATATATACCATGGGAATGAAAAGGGAAAAACAAAAAGGTGGCTAAGCAACAAAGGAAAGCTCAAGATGAGACTGCCTTAGCAGTTTGGCAAAAATTAAGAAGTAAGCAAGGTGCTGAAGAAATGAGGCATATCCCCATTAACTGTGAAATAAAAGCAATTTGTTAAAAATATGAAATCAACTACTCTGTGGACAGAGACATGAGACTCCAGGATAACACCGAGCACTTGCCACTCCACAGATCAGACAATTTGCAATCATTACATCATCAAAAATTAAAACTTTTTCCTGTCATATTTAAAATTTCTTTTTTTGTCTTTTCTTCATGATGAAGGCTCTCAAGGGGCCAAGGGCAGAGCAGGTCAAACCAGGTTGTACTCCTTCAGGTTGAGCTGTAGGATGGTGTCCTTGACTGCTGCAAAGACGAAACGGATGTTTTCTGTGTCTGTGGCACATGTGAAGTGAGAATAGATGATTTTATCGCTGTCTGGATTTAAATCCACAAACATCTTGAGAATGAACTCACGGGCTGCCTGTGCATCCCTCTGTGGGCCTGCAGCAAACAAAGAAACCCGTTAATGGATTTATGCTAAGCACATCCCCGTTTGATCCGTCAGAATAATTGCTAGCGCACTTTTTCTTATGGGTTACAGAGCTATAAAGATGAAATTAAGATCATTTATTGCATAAAAGTCCCAGGAGCTGAAGTGCCTTATGCTTTTAAGTTATCTAACCAAAACCTACAAAAGGCATTTTTCCAAGGCACTGAGTTTTGACAGACACCAAGGCATCACTTCAGACCCTGCTTTGAAACACACCATTCAGTATAACCCTGCATGTGCTGCATTCGCTACAGAACAGCAACAGATGCTGGGGATACCTGACACCGTGCTCTCCTCTGGAGATGGGATGTATATTTCTTCCTAACATACAGATGGATTTTATGCAAGGATGCAAGCATACGTTTTGCAAACAAGGGTCATCTCCAGCCAACACTGCAGTCTGTCCTAACTAGCCAGTCAACTCTCAGGAGATAAAAAAAATTGAATTTTTGTCAGTATTTACTTCATACTGCTGACATCTCCTCAGAAAAAAAGTCACCTAATTATATTTCCTTCTCCGTGCTGGTGTTGTCACATTCTCCATGGCAAGGACTGTCTTTCGAGAGGTGGTCTGATGGGCTACGCAGCATCCCTGGAGGAGCTACGGGAAACAGTTATATGGAAAAAATGAAAGTACATGACACTTCCTGATGTTATGACCCTGTCTCCAGGTGCTAAGTTGTATCAGAAGTCTGCACTATTTGACCGATAAGCTCACCAGCCATTCCCAGCCTGCTGTAAAAACATGGTGTTTTCCACCACTGACAGTTTCAGAACACTTGTGCTTCCAGACAGCAGGGGGCAAGAAACTCCAGAAGTGGGAGGACAACTAATGAGCAATTTCATTAGTTGTTTAAAAGAAGAAAGCTGTTTCCAAAATGGCAAATCTTCCTTTACCTTGTGTTTTTAAAGCACACAATGACAAAGTTGATACACGAAAGCATGGCAAGACGTGTGTTGCCTGATCTCATTCTCCACTGCTTTTATTTATTTTCAGCCCTGCACAGATGTGTCACAGCCAACTTTCAATGCACTCAGCTGAAGAGCCTGCAATGCTATTTTGGATAAGGAGTTTTGTTTCAGAGGGGAATTTCTCTGTTTCACATAGATATTATTTTTCCACAACTGCAGATAGCACACTAGTAAGAATTTCATGCTACCTGAGATTTTTCAGCACCATCATTTGAACAACTTGGGTATTTGACCAGCCAATTTCTCAAAACAAGGCATCAAGTCACCTCTTGACTAGAGGGCTAAAATGCCTAGTACACCAGCGAATCGTCACATCTTTATGAAATGGGTTATGTGCACAAGCATACAGGTAGGAAAGTTAGGCTTCCATCAATTAATACTCTGAAGTGAATATCTGGGGGACGTGGGGGAGTAATCCTTCATTTAGGAGAGGCTCATTATTTGTTCATTCAATCAGATTCCAGTTATCTTCAGATGATTAAGACATTTTTGTGACATTCTCTGATTGTTGTAGGTATTCCTTCTCAAATTAAGATGTCTTCCCCATCTCCAGGTCTGAGTTTTCTTTAAAAACCAAAAAAATTCTAACCAAACCACCTCCAGCCCTTCTGCTAGAGTGTTCCTCCTTAAAAACCACTCACCATCAAACTCTGGGAAATAGTCAACAAGGTGGGAATATAGGATCTTGTCTTCCAACAGATCTTTCTTGTTGAGAAAGAGGATAACAGAAGAGTTTTGGAACCATGGATAAGTGATAATGGTTCGAAAGAGAGCTTTACTCTCTTCCATCCGGTTCTGAAATAAGAAAAAGAAAGCTGTGTTTTCACAACCGAGCAACTAAGATGCCTTTCTGCTACCTGCACACGTACTCAGCACTGTATTATTGATCCAGCACCTCGGACACTGTACACAGAATACTTTGGCCCCATGTAGGTTCTGGCTCAAGCTGTGCTGGTAACTGGAACGGAAATGCAAAATCTGATGGGTTCGAGCTTCAATTAATTGGCAAGCCATTCACATCAAAAGGCTTAAAAGTCATTTTATGCTTTGATAGTCATACGAGAGGACTGGCCACAACACTTTGTGAACGTGTTTCATCTAGCAGAAAAGGAATAACTGCTTTTACCTAATGGCATTTTTAAAATCTATTAGCAAGTGCAGAAATTCAGTATCGCACCTTCAAAGAGACCAGTCACTATCTAACAAGAAAGCAGTCACAGCTCGAGGGAATTCAGTCCGGAAAACAGGAACGGGTGATTTTTAAGAGCGTGCCGTCACACTGCACAGTACCTTCCAAGGCACACAGAACTCTGCAATTTCAGAGTATTTCAGCATTACTTGAGAAGTACAGACGATTTGAATGCACTGTGTATTTTCCATTCTTAGGGACATCATGACCCATTGAGGCTCACGTTCCCTTTGCAACAGGAGGGACTGAAGGCCAAACCCAACACCACCTGCTAATCCAACTTGGCACCACGCACTCCAAGAAGCTAGAAAGACATTCCTCCTTTCCTTTCACCCTCCTGTTGAGTTCCCATTCTTTGGCTTACCTCGTTATCAGATTCCACCAGAACTTGGTCATATTCACTAAGTGCTACTAAAAACATGATGGAAGTCACATTTTCAAAGCAATGGATCCACTTCCTTCGTTCTGATCTTTGACCTCCAACATCCACCATTCTAAGGAAGAGAAACACATACAGTATCACAGAAGCAGCTGCAGTTCTCTATCTGAATGCAAACGACCAGCATACGATGAGAAAGAATGCGGCTCTTTTACCACTCAAGTTAACCTGGCATGGGGATGCGATAATATGTGCTTGCTAACAAATCCGCCAAGTTTACAAAATATCCTCTTCTAGAAATATATCAAACTGAAGTGATGGCAATAGGCAAGCGATAACAAATTCAAATCCTAAATATCAGCATTATCATTTTTAGATGCATTCTGCTCTGTGCTCTGGTAGGCACAGAAAACCACCTCTAAAGGCAGGCACTAGGTATCACATACAAGAAAGTATTTCTGCACAAAAAGTGGTTTATTTTTGAAGGAGAAATAAGTGGTCAAAGTTGCTTGAGCTAAGCATTCTTAAAGGGAAATCCATTTCAAGTCGAGCACTGCCCAGAGCAAGCTTCCCCCTCCTCCCCTTGGTGGCTTAAGCTGCCAACAGTTCACTCAGCTGCCTCACAAGCCACCACTTCAGCCTCAGATGCCAGCAATGCAATCCTTCCCAGGAAGGACACCAGTTCCTGCGAGATGGTTAGCTGGGCATTAAGCTTCACTGATTCAAAAGCATGTTCTATTTTGTGACAGTCAATGCATCAGCTTGGAGTTTTCCCTTAATCAGAATAAAATGTTACACCACCCCCATTACAGAAGCACCAGTCAGCAGATACTTCATAACATCCTAGCATGTACACCCCCTCAAGCCTCTCAGCCAAGCACCTGGACACTCTAAAGCAATCCAGAACTCATCATCCTGAAACCACATCACTCCTCTCTCAGTTCAGCTGTAACATGAATACACCTTCAGTACCTGAAGATAATATTCTCTAGGTCAAAGGGGTACTCTATGATACCGGTTGTAGGAACTCTAACCCGTAGCACATCTTGCTGAGTTGGTAGATATCCTGGGGTAGCGATACGATCCACGTCGCTAAGATAGCTACAAGAAGCACAGTGGAAAAAACTACCTTAGATTGCAGCACATAAATATACAGATTTAAACACTGCTACATTTAGTCTTTCCCAAGCACAACGATAAAGTCAGAAGTCACCCGAACCATTTAAAATGTGATGTGGAAAAATAACGGAATAGATCTGTGGGGAACAGCAATTCACCAGCCATCCCCTTTGGAGGATAAAGAGATACATTAAGAGCAACTTTATCAACTCTGTATGGGAGCGTGAAAGACAATCTTTACTACAGAGAAAGTTTAAATGTAGGGGATGCTTATGTTTCAGAACCAAGTCTCATTTGAGATTTTCTATTTATAAACAAACCCATGCCGCCAGACTTAGATTTTGTTAACAACAACTCCATTAAGTCACAAATCCATGTACACCTGTAGGCCAAAGGACAAACCTGAAGAGAAACAGCGACACTTCTGCTGCCTAAGAGCCAGGACCAACACAGATGGCGTACGGTAGAGATTCTAGCCTCAGGTATATACAGAAGCAGATGTGTGCACAACTGTCTTTATCGCCCACCAGAACACCTCATACCCTCATGAAAAGTAGCAAATGGTAAGGAAAACCAAAAAGATAAAAGGTCTTTAAACAAACTACTACACTACAGCAGTGTTCCTGCCCTTTGAAAGAAACTCTAGACTTCAATAAAAAAGTTGGGCAGCTATTATTTGTTAAGCCATTACCATCTACTGGTGCATGCCAGTGGTTATATACTTACTATTTAGCTGAGTCAGAAAGCTGATACTCTCTTCTCCTGTCATAACACTCTTGTATTCCAGGGTCGTTCCACAATGTTTTAATTGCACTTACATACGGTTGCTCAAATGTCATAACCTTTTCTACATCCACTTCCCTTATCAGCACTGCATTGGCCTGTAGATTGAAAATTAAAAAAAAAAAAAAACAGGGGCCAGGGGGTGGGGTGGGGACAGGGGACGACAGAGTCAGGAGCAGGGGGTACTGGTTACAGGCAAGCAAAAAAATTCTCAGATGAGCTAAATCCTTACATTATGACTTCACAGATCCACATGCTGGCTGTGGATCGGGTTGCTAAGACCCAGAAGGACAATGGGTAAACTTTATATCTAAGACATAGCACACATCAGCAAAATTCCCCCCAAACCATCATATGCTCCTTCACAGAATAAGCTGTCAAAGAGCAGCAGGTTTCACCTATCATTAGATCACCAGGAGTTTTGGAACACAGTGGTGTCCACGGCAGAGCACTCACCGTGAAGAGCCACAGACCACCCAGCTTCTGAGAGGGTTAAACTGCACTTGGATAACAAGTTACCATCTCAGGTTTTGTAGGAAAATAATTTAAGCTACATTTTGAATAGCAATAGAGACATTGTTTCGGCATACTTCAATCATGATCCCTTTTGAGAGAGAAAATAAAAATTCCCACTCTACAGTCTATAAGCAAAGGAAGGACTACAGTCATTACAACAGCTTGTGGCATCTGTGTGGCTATGATCCACCCCAAACCGCCTTCTGAAATCTTTGGTACACTTGCCACAGGAAGGGGCTTTTGCCCATACCACATATGCCAGGAAAAATAGAAAAACAAAGTCAAGTTCTGCACACATCACCGTAAGTAAAATCTGGCAGATTATACCCATCAAGGCACCTCCACCGTGCCCCAGGTAAAGCTTCCTCCCACCCTGCCTATCCTCATCACCAAGACTGCAGAACCTCTCCAAAGGCAAAAAAGGTGTTCTGACTCAAGAACTCCTGGTGCACCATCCAGTCCCTATAAAATTACTAAACATCAGCTCCAAGTTACTGTGTGACAGAACAGATAAAATAGAATTTCACTTTAAAATATTAAGGTACTAAGCATTAAAGAAGCAAAAAACACTAAAAAAACCCCAAAACCACTAATTTCCTGGGGCATCCTCACCCTCCCCGTCCTTCCTGAAAAAAGCTAAAATAATTTAGATCAGCTCTGGGATGAAAAATTTATTCCTGGACCCCAAATCAGTAAGTCAGACTTCAGCTCAAATCACGTTTCCGCGGTTGAGACTAAAACCCTTCAAGAAAGGTTTGTACCCTTGGTCAGTACCTATCAGAACAAATAACATTGTGGTAATAGCGATAACTGCACAGAGGCGTTCTGGGGTCCAGTACATATTTTGTCAGCTTCAAGTTCCCATGTGAATAGTAACTCATGCAAAGAAAAGGCCGACACATTTAACAATACCGAATCCTTGAAACGAGTAAAAAGAACACCTCCCATGTACCCTATACCGTGTCGCAGTCCCTGGCTCCCACCACTCACCACTCCAGACCCCTGCACAAACCATCCTGAGAAAGTCGCTCTGTCCCTTAACACAGCCAAGTAAGTGGAGACAGGTATCAATAAAACGTCATAAAAACCAGTCCTTAAGCACTAAATATTTATGGGAAAGAAAAAAAAATTGCAATGCAGAAGGACACAAACAAACAGGAACTTAGGAGTCAAACCCTAGAATCCCCATTGCCCAAAAACACATGCAAAACCTGTAAGAAACTTACCTTGTTCTGCTCATATTTGTACAGAATCTTCAGGGTTTCCATGGCCCTGATCATAGACTGCATGGCAGTGAAGATGTTTTGGTACACCAGTTTGGTGAAGCCTTTTTTGTCCTCTTCAGAGTAGCCTGAGCCATGAATTATACGCATTTGCTTAATGAACGTGCTTTTTCCGCTCTCCCCAGTGCCTACACAATGCGAGAGAGAGAGTTAGCAGCCATCACGAGCAAGGCTTGCTGCAGAAGAAAGCAAGCGAACATCAGTCTCACCGCACCCCGAAGTTCCTATTACTATACCCAAGTACACGCTACTTCCAGACACTTCTTCATTCGCTTTCCAAGATACTGAAAGACAGTCTGGATGGTCCTGCTCATCCCCACTATGAGCCTCGCGGCACAGAAGGAAGACATCTTGTCCTCTACAGCAGCCTTCAGAAGCAGCTCTGGTACTTATTCCAAATCTCACGTTACAGCCACTCCCACACGCTCTGCGTCAAAAGGCCCTCGTCTGTCCGTCCGTCCGTCACACCTGACCTGCTCCCAGATACTCCAGCAAGATGCTACAATCACAGCCCCGCCAGAGAGGGCCTGGGCGCACTCTCCAGCTGGCCCGTGCTGCAAACTGAGATGGTAGCGAGCGGGCTGGGGAAGCCTATTTGCACAGTCAAGAGCAAATGTTCTTTCGCTGTGACTTGGCACGAAATGCTCTTTACCTTACAGACTATGTGTCTCTTCACAGAAAAGGACTGAACACAACAGAAAAATCAACTCCAAAGGAGAATGGAACTCAGGAAACTACTTGCTTATCCATCTGACATGAGCAACCCAGGCAGTGCATCTGCCCAGTATCCCAGACCACTGCGCAAACACAAGGACTGAAATTATAATCCTCATTGCGGCAAGACACCTCCAATACTGCTTGCAGCCTTTGGGTATTATAGAGTTAAAAACTGTCTGGGAGTACAGAGTAGGATGCTGCTCACAGCTGTCTGCACCCTGTCCGGATCCCTAACAGACAGCGGGCTGCTCCGCAAGGCTGCCGGCTCCTCACCACGCAGGTTTACCTCCCGGCAGGAGCTGGGTCTCGGAGTCGATCGGAGGGCAAGACACACTCACACCAACCCAGCGCCCTGAGCGGTCCGGCCCTCTCAGCGCTCACTTCCTGCACCGTCAGCTGGGCAGGTCCTCCCACTCCTACATTTATGGCCACAGAAAAGTGTCACTTAACACGTGAAGGCCAACAGATGATATAAAAGGACAGTGGGAACTTTCTAACACAGCAAGTATGAGGGAAAAACATCATCAGATAAAGTCTCCGTGCCGTTACACAGCCTTCTTAAATTCATGAGCCAACTGGTACTGTGAAAAGCACCCAGCGACTCCCATTCTGTACATACACAGCGACTTCTGCGCAGTGGACGTATAGGTCAAGTCTGGCACGCGATCAGCGTATCTCCCTCCACGCTCCCCGCCACGAGCAACAGCTTCAGCGTACACCATTGACACTTCCCTTGAGTACTTTTGGTCAATCCTCTAAAATTCACTGTTCATATGCAGAACATATTTTTATTTATATATAGAAGACAGCTCTTTCTAGTACAGTGGCCCAGCTCACCTGACTAATGAGAGCAAACCCTAAACTGTATCGCCCGAGCGACAAATCCTTTTGACTTCAGTCACCAACAGGCGTGCTGGCAGATGCTCTGCCCCAGGAACCACCAGGTACTCGCTGCACACCAGGGGACAGGTATATTAAGACAGGATCTCATTCATCACCATACACAATTACTACTCACATGCAGATTCCCAATTACTCATGTTTATAGTGCCAGGGAAAAAGGCAAACAAATAAATACGCTCAAATAAAAGCAGCAAGCACATAACTAGAAGCTGCATATTTAAAATAAACTATCTCCAACAACAGACAGAAATTATGTCAACATAGTTAGAAATCAACATTATAAACACCATTAATATGCAGCAAACTATCTCCATCTCAAACAGAAAGCTGCACCACAAATGGGGGGAAAACTCTGAAACTGAAATGTTTTGTGGTTTCTCTCACTGTGGTGAGAAACACTTCCTTGTCTTTTACCACAGCGACCAAAACTGAGAAAAAAAAAGAAAGTGGTACTTCAAAGCATTCCGATAATGAAAACATAAGAGAAACCTCAGCACTAGCCATTCACTTACTTCAGAACTTAAGAGTTCAAATACAGACTCTTCCTGTCACTCCATCACCACCAGTATTGTTATTTATTTTTTTAAAAAGGTCCCTCTTGCTTTTTTCCTAAGCCATCAACAATACAGAATAGCGCTACACCAGAATATTTTAGGTGGGTATGGTCTCTTACATTTATAAGAGCAAAAGAACCCTTTTCAAATATGACAATGTTGAGACAAGGAGATAATCCAAACTCACCACTTCTTCTGTCAACACCCGAAAGCAGCGGAGTTTACCGCACATTACTAAGAACCCCCAAGAATCTGACAGGCACTTGTAAATACGTTACTCAGTCAACAGTATCGCATGCTTAATCACAAGTAATTTTTTTATAAAATATTCCCCACCCACCCAATAAAAAGACAAATGACTACCTTATATCAGAGAGCAATGTCCAATACCTTGAAATCCAATTTCTTACTTCCAGGTTTGTCACTGATTAGCACCGTTACTCTTCACCATAATTTTCTGTTCTAGGCTTCGACAAACTAACTGCCACTAGATACAGTGACAAGAAATATCACCAGAGATTCTACAAGGCAGAAACTCCCTCCACGGGCATCCTTCAAAATTTTGAAGATTAGGGAAAGCCCTCTCACTAATACAATCACTAATATTTGCGAGTGTAAGAACCCCACCTAATAGGAGCAAGACAGAAGAAATCCCCGCAAGCAGCAGTTATGTCAAGGAAAGAGAGCACACGTTACCTGCCACAATTTAAGGTGAGCAAGGTGCAATGCTGCATTCCAGTGAGAAGCATCTAGTGAACACATCCTAAAACTGGGAGTGTTGCTTACCCAATATTGACCACCTCATATAGATTATTTTTTTTTAATCTGAAGCTGAATCTTACTTAACTGTATCTTTTAGAAAAGCAGAAAGTATTCTTTAGCAACTATAATTATTTCTAAAGTGAAATCTTTAGATCCAGTGGGATCTTCTTAACCCAGATCTATCCTATAGTACCAACCTATTTTGAAACAGCTGCTTCTGTGGGACTGCTTTAGGGAAGCATCAGAGTCAGAGAGATACATTCCCTAGTCTACGAGAAGCTTTACAGAAAGGGACACAGCACTTTCAAAGAGCACAAACGTCAAGCCCTCAATTTTACCTTTCACTTGAAGAACAGCTACATGTTAATTGCTGAGGATTCATGGGGAGAAGGAAAGCGTGGCCTTCACTTAACAATTATCACTATGCAACGATGTCAGTATTGGAGACCTCCGAAGGATGGGGCAGACACAGCCTCACTTCACTTGTCTAAAGTTTTACATTTGTTTTTGCAACGATCATCCTAATTCTTCACCTGTACCTTAACAGCTTGCCAACTCATGACAGGCCCCAAGTGAATAAACTCAATCCACCAGATCTGCTTCATAGTCCAGCTTGAGATGACACAGTATTTAAGACACAAATCAGGATACGTACACAAGCAACGATAACCACAGTACCCATGAAAACTTCAACTTGAGTTTAATTTGGGGGCTACCTGGACGTGAACATCAAACTCACTGCTGAAGAAGGATGTAAATGCCAGAGATCTTAGCTGGCTGTTCCTGTAACTTATTATCCATCCCTATAAACCTTATCTAAACACAGAACAGTTACCCATCTGCACAACCACAGAACACTACGTTTCCATCTGAACACCTACATCCTTATCGCTGGCACAGGTAATCTCTACCTCTGAAGGTAAGAAGGCTAAACACTATATCCATTTCCTCATCAGCCACAGAACCCGAGCATTCTTACCGCTTCCTCTCCCAAAACCAACCGCCTAACCCCGCCGGCCCTCCCAGGACTGCACAAGGGAAGCTCTGTGGTTTAGGAGCTGGAGGCCAATTTTTCCACAGATGTGCACACAAGGCCCAGAAGTTCACCAACAACACCAAACAGCATCAACTCCACCAGTGAATTTTCATACGCTGATAAAGGCCAGCATGCTCCGGGGAGCGTTTCCTCCTTTCCACACGCGTGAGTGTGTGCACACGCCTGCGTCTAGAACCACTAATTTCAGCCTCGGAGTTCCTGCTCATGTCAAAACCCATTCTGACAGAGAACACAGCACAGAAAACAAACAAAGAGCAGCC